CCAGCTGGCAAAGAGCTGGAAAACAGTAGGTACCAGTTGTTTCTTAGCTGGAATTTTCCAACTGGAATGCAGATGGTTTTAATAGCTGTTTCCAGCTGGAAATTTTCCAGTTGGAATTTTATAAAAAGAACCCTACAGCTGGAATGTAGCTAAATTTACAGTTTAAAATCAGCTGTTCCTGTTGATGGACCTCCGACAAAAATAGTCAAAGAAAAGATTCTCATTCAGTTAGTTATATTGGAATTAGGAAGAACTCTGGAGTTGACTATTTTCCAGCTGTTACCCAGTTGGAATGGGTCCGAATTTACAGCTGGAGTCCAGCTGGAAGTTATACCTGTTTCCAGCTGGGATTTTAAACTGGGTTCCCTCAGAGGCTCCCCCCCCCCCCCCCCCTTCCCTCCCCCATCACATCGCAAACTCATTTCTGTGAAATGTGTCCCTCTCTAATATTGGAAAATTTGAGATGATGCAGCTTCGGGGCTTTTCAACTTAGGTGCAACACGACGAATACCGAATCTTCGGTATTTTTGGGAAATAATTCGAAATATTCCGTCTCGAATCGTTCCTGGATGTTTCCATTTCACACTTTGAACGCGGTGACGAGGGTTCATTCTCGCTTTTTTTTCCCGCAAGAAGGACTAACGATAGCTCTCTGTCGGGGGCAGACGACGGAATTCGTCAATAGGATCGCTGTCGTAACGCGCTGGTGACTCTCATGCAAAAGTCTCCCCGGCTCTCTTTCCTCAACTCGATGATTCCCGCAACTTGGAACGTCCCCTTTGCTTTTCGCATTCCCCTGCCGACATCCAGATCTCTCCGGGAACCGAAAAACGAAACATCAGTCACGAGACCTGGACTTTCGTCTTCGTCCGTGGACGGACTCGGCTAATCTGGCTCGGTCCGTCCACGGACTGCGTCCAAGAATCCCACGAAACCGAGTCCCTTCGACACGATGAAGTCGCGTCAACATCGAGCAGCGGTTCATTTTTCGACTCGACACGTTGCCTCGATGTTTAAACACGGTCGAAACGAAACACGATTCAACATCGAAGAGTTGCTGCTGTGTAACGTTGCGTCAACGACGAATCGTGAACGTTTGGGCACGATGATACCGCCTCCCTCATCCAGTGTCTGCAAGAGCGTTAACATCGATCAGGCGACGAGGCGAATAGAGATTCCATTCACCCACGGAGGACTCCCAAGTACCGTACAACCGGTACTCTATCGAGGAGAATCGTCCCACGAAGAGGACCCGAGGAGGTTTATTTTTCCTTTACTGGATCGAGATCGGAATCGAGTCGACTCGACTCTTACCGTCACAGCAGAAGAGAGAATGTCGGCGGGCCAATTTTCATGCTCTATCTTTATCGAAAGAGCCCGGAGTGCAATGAGCCGTGTGGAGATTTTGGAAAATGAGGGATGTCCCCTCGGACCCATTGGCCGCAAGTACCCAGAGTCTCCCGCAGGGTTACCGTCTTGAACAGGTCTATCGAGAAATACGTCATTTTCCCTTGTGCCGTACATGGGAAAAGATTGGGTACGATACGAAAATACGGGACAAAGTCATGAGGAAGGAAGGGAAAGGAAACTTTTCCACTCTTATTTCTATAGTATGAGTAAGAGGAATTCCGAGCCTTCAATTAAGGCCGTCCCGTAGATCACTTGATCGAATCTAACGAGATATCCTTTTTGATGGAATTCCATAAACGTCCGGTCTCATAAAGCGAATCGAGAGGGAATGGACGTTTTCCTCTCCCATGGTATACATCCATCGATCCATCCATGGAACCATCAATTTAAATCGGAGGGACGGATTTTAAGCTAAAAGAGGTCCGAATTCGCGACACTTACCTTATAGTAAGGAAACCCCAAGTTCGGCCCCTGGGCCACCCCTGCATGCCAAACACCTGAAGCAGACCACAAGTGGCGCTAGTAGCGCTACGGTAACTCGCCCATAAGGACACTTACTCGGAGTACGATGACGAATGCATGCAAAAATAAATATGTAACTATCGACCAGAGAACCCGACTGGGTTGCTTGGTAGTAGGCCACTACCGGATTACCGAACAGAAATGGACCCCGTAAGGGTGGAAGTTGTGTGATGGGAAAATCCAGAACGGTAATAAGGTTGGGAAGACGAAAAGAAAGAGAACGAGAATGAAAGGAAGAGTGATCATACTTGGAGGACTCTACTGATTGGATTTATAAGTTAGGTAGGAAGGGTCTCTTATGATGGGATGTGAAGGACGTGGAACTCATCCGAGCAATGTCAACTCGATTAAGCAGTCTAAAAGAAGGCATAGAGTCCCTAATGAGGTGACCCGAGCAGCACCTTCGCACTCGGTATTCCAGTGACCAGTACCAGTAGTGAGGGTGAGAACCAAGTAGCGACAGTCCACGTTGTACCTAAGGATGATACTTTCCGTTGCTTTCGAGTAGGAGTCCTTGGATTCCTGTTTCACATTTCCGTTCACGACCGGTTCGCATTCGCTGCTTCCTCCCGGTGTGACGAGTTTCGATTTACACCCCTATGTGGTGCACTTGGCTTCTAAGCTAAGCCCCGCTAACCCCCCCCCCCCCCCCCCCTGGCGACAAGTTTAAATGACTCGTCCTTACCTCACGTAATACAAGCGATAAATAATCCGAAAGTAACACATTCCCAGCAGGGTAACCAGAGTCGCACGATGGGCCTCATGACGCAAAAGTTCGGCTCGTTTGGAACGAAAATGCGTCCAACTTAATCGAGTACTGGCTCAATGCTTCATGATATTCTTAGTACGACACTAATTGGAATGACCTAGAAACTCTGTGCTAAACAATATATGGGGTTGAAAGAGAAGACTTTCACAAGAGAGCGGGTCTCAATTTTGAGGTTGGAATTAAGAGAAACGACTCCTTCTCTTCCTCCAAGCTTCCCATAGAGAGTAAAAGAAATGTTGCATTATTTGTGTGCCTAATGGCATCCTTCACTTTCTTCATTTCACCCTCCCTAATGCCAAGAATGATGGAAAGTGCCGGTCTGAATTCTGGAATGCCTGAAAAGAGCAGTTTGATCCATAACCTATTGGAGACTCCAATGAAGCCTGCCATTATTTGGCAAATAATGGACAGTGCCCCCCTTCCCCCCCCCCTCCTTCTCCTCCATGTCTGAAAGGAGCGCATATCCTCCTCTCTCGGAATGAAAGGAAGCTCGTGTATCGTCTATCGGAAGGAGTCTGAGTGCTGGAAGGGCGGGCATCGGTCGATAAGGCCGGCACTCGAGCAGATCGTCCCCTTCCCCGCAACATCTTCTTCTCATCACCGTGATCGATGTTGTTTTTGCTGCTCGCCGTGTCCGTGTTAGGCGACGGCGTGAAGGAAGACGAGGGCTGCCCCGCTCTGAGGGACGATCAGCTCGTCCGGGTTCGCCTGGATCCGGAGGAAGATGTCCTCCGTCGTCCCTTCCACGCCGAGTTTCAACCCTTCTATGCCACCACCGATTGGGAATCCCCCGAAAGGTAACTCTCTTCCCTTTATCCCTTTAGATCGGTGATGCTCAACCCATGGCCAGTGGGGAAAAAGTGGCCCTTGAGGTGCTTACAAGTAGCCCGCGAGGCCCTAACTCACAATACTCTCAGGTTTCCTTAAAATTGTCTCCGGTAATACTAGTGACTTGAAATGGCCCGCGATGGCTGTGGCTGTGAGCTATGTGGCCTTCTAGCCGAAAAGGTTGGGCACCACTGCTTTAGATCATAATGAACTTGACAGTCGCCCGACCTCGCTTTCCTAACCGTCTTATGTTGGGAGATGCGTATCAACGAGCATAATTTTGACAAAACGAAACTCATTTCTCAATCCATTGTTGACACGGCAGAAATGTGTTTAGGAAGTTTGAAAAAAATAGAGAAAAAGGTATTATTGGTCTCTGAATTGGATAGAGCAGTTACTCAGTATACAGCTACTTCCAGAATTTGAATACAGTTTCCTCCAGAAAGCTAACTTCGGGAGGAGACTGAGACAGAGAGAAGAGTTTTTCTAAGGAATTCAGAATTTTCTTCATCTCCTATGGAACTTTAAGCGATTCAGTGGATTGGCTAGGGTAATCACGACACTTTGAGAATATTCATTCCCCGGAGGATTCAGAATCACCTTATGTACTCCAATCTTACCACGACAGATAACTTCGCTTCATTCCAGTGAATTTACGTTATTAATAACTCTTTCTCTGGAATAATTCCAAGAAGAACAATAAGTTAGATATTAAATTTGCATTGGAAGAACTTTGGTGTGGTGAGCGATAGAGTGGGGGTGGAGAAGTAAGTCCAACAAATCCGCAAGTGATTGAGCCCAGCGGCAAAAAAAAAATATTGTATTTCGGTGAAGGGTAGAATGTCAGGAAGAAGAGTTTCATTTTGCTCTAATCGAAGAATTAACTGCAAGGGGTTCTTCTGTTTATATTTAAAGAAAAACGGGAGACGACTGAGGTTTGCTGTCCCATAGGTTCCTCGTTGGATACACGGTGGAGGTGGGGAACCCGCTGCACCTGAGCGCACACCCGCCGTCCCCCGAAGGATGCGGCGAGCGAAGCAGGGCGAGGGACACGGCCGCTCCCATCGCGAGCTGCCGCCGAGTGGCCGTCTCCGCCGGGTTCTTCGACACGAGGACGGGCCGCTGCTACGGGCACCTGGTGTCGGGGGGCCGAGTCGTCCAGACGGCAGAACCGTGGAGATTCAACGCCCACTTCGGCCTCTTTCGCAACGGGTCCATCTTCGTCGGGTAGGTATTGCGAGGAAAAAGCGATAGGAAAGAAAAGAAAATATTGCTGGAGGCGGAATGACAACTGATCTCGTATCCGATATTTATTTTCGTTGGCTCATTCCCCACTGCCAATGGTAGAGCTGGCGCGTGAAAATAATAAAACCCCATATATATTTTCCATGGACTGGCAGCAATGAGGAATTATCTGGAGTGAAGGGGGGGGGGGGATTTTTCCCATCTGTTCTTGCATGTCTAATCTACGGATTATTTCTTGCCATCGGAGATTTGACCGATTTTACTCATTTGTCTTCGGCTGAGAACGAGATCTCAACGTCATTCGAAGGTATTCGTACCCTTTTTTTCAGGTATGTCCGTCCCGAAGAGGTACGAGAATGGCCATTCAAAGAGCTGGTCGGGGGAGTCTTGTGGCTCATTAAGGACGGAAGGAGTTTCTTCGATCAAAGCATAAGACTAGGTCTCAATTTTAATTTAGCCCAAGGGTGCAAATTTATATTCCTCATGACATTTTTTAAATAAAAAATATTCACATTTTCTGGAGACTAGAATGCGGGAAGACACAGGAGACGGGAAGTCTTAGAGAGTTCGCGGAGGTGAAGTCTGCCAGGGTCATCCTGGGTCACGACGAGCGGGGTCAGGTCAAGATCATCGTGGTCGAGGGGAAGACCAGAAAGTTCGGCGCCACTCTCAAAGACATGGAAATCCTTGCCATCTCCCAGGTTCTTTCCCCCTCGTCTTTCATCATCTCGAATCACGAATTCTTGAATTCCTTTCAGTTTCATCCAATATTATTGTATGCATAGGGTCTGGTGAATGCAGTGAATCTGGACGGGGGAGGGAGTGCTGCCCTCCTCCTCAATTCCACACTTCTCAATCTACCCACCGATTCCTGGTAATTTATTTCTTTGCATGGCTATTAATTCTCTTTCATTCATTTCCTTTGCTCATCGAAAAAGAGGAGAGGTAAATCCACCTCTGTAAATCCGGGTTGGAGGATTTAAGTCAGTCGAAATTCAACAATGGCTTCTAACTTAGCTTGCTAGTAGGTTACTTTCTTCAAAATACAATTAGTCGTCTGATTACTCTTGGATGATGGATTACACTTGAATGAGGTAAGGACTAGGAAATTGGACTTGCTTTGAGGATGGATATTTATTGGTGAAGCCAATCTCACCACAAATGGGTGGGAGGGAGGAGAACCATACTAGTCACTCCAGGTGGGGGGTGGTAAAAGCGAAGTTGTTCCAAGAAGAGAGCTAATCAGAACTTCATGCTCGAAAGTAACTGAAAGTAATTTCACCGTTTAGTTTATTATTTCCTTCAGGGAAAGTCTACCACCATATTTTGGTCCCTGTCCCCCTCCTCTACGAATTTATTTGGAAACTTCTTAAAAATCAGGTGAGTAGGAGGCCATTCACGAACGAAGCCCAAGCAGCGTCTTCCGAAAGAGGCTTTTCTCACAGCATTGCCCGTATCCCCGTGGCTGATACGCTCCGACAATGTAATGATTTTTTTGAACGCAGTCCGGGATTTGAAGGCGGAAGTGGTCCAGTGGTGAAGACTTGCGAGCGGAAGATCACCAGCATCATCTGCGCCGGGCCTGAGGAAGGGGAGGACTCACTCCGTTCCTCCACCCATTTTTCCTCCCGTCTTCGCCCTGCTATCTTATTTCTTCTTCATGCCTTCGTAGTTTCCATGAAACGCAATGAATGACACCATCACATGACAGGATGGATTTGCCTCATGCTGGGAATGAATGTAATCATATTGGCCCGGCATCCTAGGAACACCGTGACAGTGTCCACCCTATTCCATACGAAATAGTAATATCACTCTGCCTATGACTATAAACAATTGAAAATAGGAAATTTCTGAGTGGAGTGGAGATTCTCATGCTTTAGGTGAATCTAAGTGGTGACTCGACTCGAGAAGTATTCTGTTACAATGTTCTGGAGAAAAAAGTCCAATCTCTTCCAAATACTGTTAAAATATATGAAGTTTATATGAATTGGTTAACGTTTCGATGAAAACGTGAAGACACCTTTCAGCACCGGACCATGCTGACCTTACAATAGAGGGGAACCAAAGTGGGAAAAGTGCATAAGCGTCATCTGACCATGGTTTCGGCTCTTCTTACCTTTTCCTACTATCTTGCACTGGTGTTGCAGGAATGTGTAATAATTATTATGGTACCGATAGGTCATTACTGCTGCTCACTGGGTCTAGAATCTATGGAATTTCATGTCTTCAAACATCTCGAAGGGGTCTCAGAGGCTTCCAAAGTTTTTTTTACATTTATTATCCAATTGCGTGTAGACACTCCTCGACTAGTCTTCTTTGCGTGAAGGACATGTGGCGAAAAAAGTTATTAGTGTCATTCGCGAGGTTTGGTAATGAGAATCGAAATTTTTAGTAATTTCTTCCCAATCATCGTTAAATGTAATAAACACAAAGGCAAAAAACACACACAAAAAGAATCATTTATTAGAATTTGAGTTAATTATTGCAGCTTTTACGGGTCATTGTAAAAAAATTTTTTCGTGTTATAAGGAGCAGCTTTGGTTACTGTTGGACAAAAAACCAAGTACTTGAAGATATTTCTCTATTCGTCTGCAAGCTAAATCTATACGGGTAACGGATTGAATTCAAAGAGTTGTGATAGTTACTTTGCTGTTTCCCATCCATTCTTGCTTTTCGAATCCGTGGTCAATAGTCGTCGCCGAAAGACAGCCCATGAAGGATGAGTCCATTAGTTCCTCAGAACCTGTGAAACTCTTACGCGTCTCGTGCAAAAAAACACCGGACGCGATGGACAGACCACATTCAAGTGGAATTTATGGTACATTAATATCCGTGTTTGGAATGCATGTGACGAAGTAGCCCCTAGTAAATGCAATGTTCATGCAGACTCTGAACCTCCATATCGACAATTCGATGGTCGGGTTTGTATGCATGGTCTACATTGCGAATGGGTTTCAGGTTGCAACCAATCACTGGCGCTTGAAATTGGCACACCGTGAATGAGGCCTCGCCTTCTCGTCCTAAGGATGTTCAATGCATCAAACTGCATTCTGCGGAATGCATGTCTGTTGTGTTGATATTTTCACCCCATCCCTCTACGTTCCCAATTTTTTTCTTGTAATGGCAAGCTACGTGATTGCATGAAACAGCAGGAGGGGGGAGTGGAAGCAGAACCGGACTAAGGTCTCCGGTGCCCTTCTTCCTGAGTTCCCTTATCATCTCGCAGAGTGACGGCACGTCTTTCGTGCAATTCGCCGATTGGCGATTTTCCGACTTACAAATGACCACAAGAGATTCAATTCACCGAACGTCATTGCTGGTGAGTCATCACTCGGCGATATAACGGTCACCATCACCTGCATTAAGACCTGCATCTTGGCATTCTGGTCATTTGAAGGTTTGACAGGTGCTTGGCAACACTTTCTGTGTGGACGGTGATATCCCTCGGTGCTAAACGAACGATGGCTGTGGTGGTTACAGTGTCTTGAAAATGCATAATGGGTAGTCAAAACGATGCATTGTGTCAATGAAGAACTCTTCCAAAAAGATTCGAGCGAGCTGGTTTTCTTCGCTAACTTTTTTTTTTCATTTTTCAAATAACTGGGCTAGAGTGAGGAAAGAACGTCAGTATTGTCGACAACTTTGACCTGTATGCTAACTGCAAACCAATACAGATTGCGGTATTACAAACATAAAAAGTTATTCACTCAAAATAAGTCACATGTTGCAAAATAGTTTGGGCAACACTGAGACAATCGTGCCTCCGAAACGTCGATTTCGCCTTTTCATTTGTTTCCAGAGCGTATCGGTGCTCAAAAGTTCTCCGACGCTACTTGGCGAGTCTGAATCATGAGTCCATCAAATTAGGCCAGAGGGGACTTTATGATTTGAAAAATGAATAACAAAGACTTTGGCCTAAAATGAGCAGGAACAAAGGAGAGAAGGAAACCGGTGTAGGACTAGACACTTACAAATAACGATGGTCCAGATTTATAAAGAGTGAGAAGCAACGAATGCAAAGACAAAGAAAGGAACATTGCGAACTGGTGCAAGTGAAAGTCCTGACAGCAAGCGCGGAAACACACTGAACTGCTCCTCTTGCGAATGATACCAACAAAAATGATATAAACAAAAATTACTTAAGCATCCCTCATGAGATGAACCAGTCCATTTGCATTTTTGCCGTTCGACATAGCTACGCTTCTGTGTCTTCGATTTCGACATACACTCTTTAAAATAATGTATATTTACAAAAATTGATAGTAGCGGCAAACCTTGAGAATCTCAATTAGAGAGGATTCTAGTGAAGCAGATTAAAAAAAAAAACTTTACTCAGTAATAGGAGCAGAAATCACCATCGCCTTTAATCCAGATCTTCATCCTCAGCAACTGTGGCGGTAGGGGTTTCGACAGCTTTCCGTTCTTCGATTCGGGCTTTTAATTCATTCGAGAAAGTAGAGAGACCTCATGTTAGCTCTAACTTCTTCCATTGCATATCGCTTCCATTTCGGAGGCAGACATGAAATCTTCTTTCCATACGACTTCGCCAAGGCATCAGCATATCTTCCAATGAAACGCTTCCAGAATAGGGAGGGATGTCCCAATCGGGATATATGGTTTTGTACTTCTTATATTCATCATGATCTCAGGATCTGAATTGTGCCACACTACCTATGGATTCAGGACACGCCTCCAATATCATTTCTTCCGTTTTCAGATATCGATACCCTCCCATGCACTGGGGGATGTGAATCTCCGTGGCATGAAGAATGACTGAGTTTTCCGCCTTCGGCGTGGTTTTCAATAGAACGCTCGCATTCGATCCCGCAAAAAGGACATCGCTCAAGACAGTCCAACAAGTTCTTCAGCAGGTCAAGGATAGGAGATTCTTCATCATCCACGAGCAGATCCACCTGTGCAAAGTTTCTTCCTTCCTTTTGGTCACAAAGTTCCTTAGATTCTGAATGAATTCATTATCAATGTAAATACTTGAGGAAAAACCCTGCACGATTGTTTGAAGCAGGATGGGATGTGCCAATCTTAGGCGAATATTAGCCATTTCAATGAAGTGATTCAAATTATAAGCATTTAAACCGGGTTCATCAAGGAATTTTAGAAAGCTCTCAATGGTTTCATGACAAAACTCCTTCATCAGTTTTGTGCAATCGAAAAATCCTCTTTGATGCTTTGTTTCAAGGAACCCACAGGACAACTCTTTCACGTAATTTTTCTTCCACTCACCAGGGCTCCCGACAAACTCCATCGTAGTCTCATAATCGTCTACTCCTACCAGTCTAAGCATGCAATATCCACTGAACGTTTTCTTTTTTTCTGCTTTCCCAAAAAGTAAAAAAATTCTCGTTTTGCAATGCTGATGCTTGCAAGGACTTGAAAAGAGATTTGTAAACATAGTAAGCAGCCCACCTCAGATTTGCGGAATCAGTTACGGCTTCCATTTTTTCACAAAACTCTTCCTTCATCGTGAGAAGTTTCTTGGATTGGCGTGGTAGGGCAGTGGTTCCCAAATCTCCTTTTACTCGCATTGAACCTTCATGAGTCCGGTGGGTCGCGATCCACCGTTTGGGATCCGCTGTGGTAGGGCACACTTGAAAGGTTCCCAGTGGGAGTTCATTTTTGCCTCAGATTCAAGATCTCCCATCCGATTAGACTTATCCTCCCTCCTCTGAAGCCTTTCATGCAGTGTCTCCCGCCTGCTGCCCGGAATCCAGAGATTTTAAACTTCCGTGATGAAATGCGGGGCAATTCCTCAGTTCGTCGCCACTTGCGTTCATTCGGACACCGCAAAGAAGTATTCAATACATCACAGCAATTTCTTCGTGGAGATCCAGCTCTCGAAACGCAGAATTGATGTATT